CCCCAAAACCCCAAAACCCCAAAACCCCAAAACCCCTCATTCAATATTAATTATTGAAAATCTCTGAATAATTATTAAATAAAATAAGATGAGGGCAGCTATTTTGCCAGCAAATATCAATGACATGAGGAGGTAATTTTTCACATTCTACAAACAAGCAGCTTGTTCTATGGGCTCTTTACTATTCTCATATCTTTTGGGGGTTAAAATTTATACCTAAGTTGTAAAATGGTATAGATCTTCCTCAATTACACTACTGAAATCCTCCAAAGCAAAATCAATCAAAGGCTTTAACGAGCAGAGAATGAATGGCACTAGCAGTTCCATGCCGAGTAAGCCCTTGATTACAGAATAATTTAGTTTTCTTTCTCTAAATAAATACTAAGATTATGAAATTTTCGAAAATTCAGTTACTAATTAATTTGGTTAACTTTAACCCAATGTAGGAATCTCCATGGATGCCAAAAACATGAGCACCACTCTAAAGTTTACTAATCCTAAAATGTTTGGATTTTCCACGAACAGGCTCTGAAGACAAACCGGTTTTAACGAAGTTCAGCTTAGCTTCAAGCTAAGGGAAGAAAAGTATGATGAAAAATAGAGCCAGACTGGAATCCCAGATATCTTCAACCAAACCTAATTTCGGCAATACTTTGAAAAAGATGATTAATGTTGACCAAGAGGAGGTTGAGGACCTCCAGAATTGGCAGCATAAGAACCACAATTTATTTCCAAAGGTAAGTTTTGCCTCTCAAAATAGGTTATACAAGATCAGGAATTCAAGCAGAAGTGTTTAGACCCAATAGAGGTCCAGTCTAATAAAGGCTTTGAGATCTTGCTAAAAGATCCTATCTTTAAGTATAGTAAGATCATTACGGACCCCAGAAAGCTTTCAGAGAGATTTAATAGAAATAAAAAGGAAAAGAGACTAGAAGAGAAGAAGGAACATAAAAGAGAGGATTGCCAGAAATCGAGTTTAAGAAGCTCTCAGTAAGCATCTTTTCACTCATCCTTAACTTTTTAGATCTCAAAAGTCAAGCATCCCGCTGGAGAGTATAGCTTCAATAAGTAGCACGCACTGGAACTCCTCCATTGGATTTGAAAGAGCAGAGGATATTGACTACCTAGAGATCTCCAAAGCCGAAGTAGCTATGATGACTAAAAGAAATGTTGCTACTGAAGTTAGACTTGAATTTAAGAAACAAAAGTATTCGTAATCTCTAATTTCTAGATTAATCAAAGAGCTGAAGAACTTCGGCCACCAACAAGAGGAACTCAGGAAGAAGAATATCAACAACAATCTTGTATGTGACAAACAGAAGGTTAAGATCCAATGTAAGCCAATAGTTGTTAACCACATTCTCTCTAGCTTGAGAGAACCAGATCAATGTTCTCTCTGAGATGATCACCGAACTTGCAGATAGTGATGTCCCCAAACTTGATGAAACAGGAAGAATTTGGAAGGTCAAGGAGAAAATTAGAGAAGTAATTAAACACAAGCAGGAGGATATTCACAAAAAGCATCTTCTCATTTCTGAAAATAAATAAAGTTATACAGCAAATGGAGCTAAAGATACAGAATATTAAGTCTGAACTGAAAGAGATCGAGTACTCTCAAATCCAGCATTATTACTTCGTGCTCCAGATTGGCCTAGATACTAGACAAGAAGGGTTATCATGGGCTCTCAGAGCCCTGATCACTTTGGGAGAGACTGTCAAGATCAGCAAATTTCCAAAATTCTTAGACTCCAAAGCTATAAAATACCTCTTTGATATTACGAAACTGAGACTCATGCTTGAAGAGGTTGGAGAGAGAATTAGAGAGTTTGTGACCAAGAGAAAATAATCTCCTAATGGCTAAAGAGAAGGCAAAGCTTGACGATTCTTCCTTTGACAGAAAGTAATCAGCAGTGATAATATTATAGAGCCAATCTTTCAAGCCCAGATACTTTTCCAAGTGACAAAAATATTGGTAGAAGATCGAGCGCTCCGAGCTTGCCAGCAGGAGGAGTTAAACCTTCTCAATTCTTCGTTAATAAGAAGAAAAAGCCGGATAATAGACTTGCACATCTGAAGGACAAGAATGAAATTTTGGACTCTATTAAGGAGAAAATGCATATGATGTCAAAAACTACAAAGGTTAAACAGGTATGCAAAGCCTTGAAAGGCAATTTCATTATCATCTAATTTGAAATTAGCTCCAAGCTTCTAAGAACTCAATGAACATCCTGAATTACCAGACAGAGAATATATTCGATGATAATCAATCTCCAATAGGTGTAGGAGAAGTCTCTTTTGACACCGGGATTCTAAACTTAGAAATCAATGACCTTGAGGAAAAAGCCAAAGAAATCAAAGACCAAATCAGCGAAATGAGAGATAGAGAGACTATCAGAATGAAGAGACTCTTCAGAAAAGACCCTAACAACTACATGCACAGATACAGAGTCTCCCAAGAGATCATCAATAACGCCCTAAACCTTACCCTCATGTAGCCCTATTCCAACCAAAACCCAATTTCTCCCCAAAATTTCCTAATTTCAACACAAATCCCTTCTTTTGGGGTTTTGGGGTTTTGGGGTTTTGGGGTTTTGGGGTTTTTGGGG